AATTAATATTTTTCATTTCACCATTATCGTAAGAAATTATTATAAATAGTTATATGTATAATAAATTGTATTATTATTATTATTATTATTATTATTATTATTATTATTATTATTATTATATTGTTAATTAAGTTAAGAACATTGTTATTGTTATGACGTATGTAAAACGTAGTCATGGGATGGCTAAAGAAATAATAGAAGAAGAAGAAGAAGAAGAAGTATAGTTCGTAGGTTGTTCAAAACTCTCGAGACGAGAGACACGAGAGAGAAAGAAAAAGACAGATAGACAGAGAGCGAGAGATAGAGAGAGAGAGAGAGAGAGAGAGAGAGAGAGAGACAGAGACAGTGAGAAAGGGAGAAAGGGAGAGAGAAGAGAGAGAGAGAAGAAGAAGAAGAGAGAGAGAGAGAGAGAGAGGGAAAGAGAAAGATAGGGACACACGCGTTTGAGAATAATTAGATGGTCTTTGGAAACGTGATTTATGATCAAGGGTAAGGTTTGGATAAAGCCATGACCGGTAACATTCATATCGATCTTATGTTGGTGAAGGTTTCGTATGCTTTCGGACAGGATCATAGAGAGCTAGGAGTAGTAACCTTATCTCACGAAAGGTAGGTAGGTAGGTAGGTAGATGGTGTAGGTTGTGTAAGTAGTGTAGATAGGTAGGTAGGTAGGTAGGTAGGTTGGTAGGTAGGTAGGTAGGTAGGTAGGTAGGTAGGAGAGAGAAAAATAGAGAGAGAGAGAGAGAGAGAGAGAGAGTACCAATCCGTTAGCGAGATTAATGAGTCGCGTTATCGAACGATACGTCTTTCTCTCTGTCAAGTTTTTTTATTTCTTTTTTTTTTTTTTTTTTTTTTTTTCTGATTACTCCTCTCTACGTATTTTCCTTTTCTTTTATTTTCTGTCCGTATTGTTTCTTGTTTGTTAGTTTGTTTGTTAGTATATTTTTTTCTTTTTAATTTTTTCTTGTCAATAGGGACACAAAGTACGTCTCAATAGGTCGGAATGATTTCGAAATATTATCGTCGATCGTAATGATGATAATGATAATAAAAATAATAATAATAATAATAATAATAATAATATTCACATTACTTTCAATATAAATTTATTTCGATTTTTGTAATTTTTTTTATTCTAAAAAAAAAAGAAAAAAAAAAGAAAAGAAAACATGCGAAACGTGAAAAAGAAAAAGAAAAAGAAAAAGAAAAATATTTTGTACAAAGGGGATTCCATTAGACATATTTATTTCTTTTCAAACAGACCACCAGTCAATGACATGGTGTTTAACAGTTTTATCGGTCTATCCAGTTCGTAAACACGTCATATTTTATGATCGTTTGAAGAAAGGCGGTTCGTGCATAGAAAGAAACATGTTGCATTAATAAGAACCTGTATAGGAGGCACGACTGTCATAGCAATTTAAAATTCATCATTAAATGGAACGACTTGATACATTTTCTTTTTCTTTTTTCTTTTTTTTGTTCCTCTTTCTTTTTTTTTTCTTTTTTTTTCTTTTTTTTTTTTTTTTTTTTTTTTTAATTCATTTCATCGCATATAGTTTGTTATATCTCTGTTTAGCTCGAAATCATTTTGCTTTTCTTGTTAGATTTAATTAGTGAATATAATATAATTAATTTTTAAAAAATTTTTGTTTTATCCTTTTACACATATCTCACGTCATATTGGATTATTAATTAATAAAACTAAAGTACAGTTATGAATAGTATGATATAAATAATATACATATATAAGTTTAATCGATTAATATATATATATATATATTTAACATGTTAATAATAATGTAATTGAATTTATTTACGTGAATTATTATTTAATATATAAATATTATATTAAATAGGATGTTAAGAAAGAAAAAAAAAGAAAAAAGAAAAAGATGATCACTTAATGATTCAAAAATTACATTAATTAACTATTTGTATTATATTTTTATCGTTGACTTTCGTTCTATGAAAATCGACTATCTAATTTGAATATTGTATTCACGATATTCAAATCTCGTATATGAATAATTTTTCTAATCTCTTTCCTCTTTTTATCTTTATCTATTCTCAGATAAAGTAGAAACTTGAGGTACAATCGGATGCCGCACGATCGATTTTTTTCTTTTTTTTTTTTTTCTTTTCTTTTTTTTTGTTTGTATTGTGATCCTTTTTATTGTTATCTTGTACATAGGAATGCTGTTGAGAGATAGAGAGAGACAGAGAGAGAGACAGAGAAAGAGAGAGAGAGAGACAGAGAGAGAGAGAGAGAGAGAGACAGAGAGAGAGAGAGACAGTATTAGAGAATATCGGGGGAAGAAAAGCAACGGATAATAGATCGAATAGACGACGTACGTAGAGGGCCTGCTTGAATGACACCGTTATTAGAACCTAATCCACCGAGAGAGTAGCAGTTCTAACGGGTGAGCTTTGAAATTCATAGGAGAAGGTTACTGGAGACACCCGTATGTTACCAAGAAAATTGAGACTATCCGAAAACGATACTATTATATTTTTCAAGATGATCTCTTTTTGTTCTAGATTTCTACTATGATTACATGATCACAATTTCTTCATTCATATTATTATTATTATTATTATTATTATTATTATTATTATTATTATTATTATTATTATTATTATTATTATTATTATTATTATTAATTTTTTTTTTGTTAATTCGTAACAAGCAATTATTAAATAAAATTTCAAGAAAAGTTACTCATATACACATACACGTATCTTTGTTTTATTTTCGGATGATATTTTGGAAGTAAAATGATCTTTAACTTTTTTTTCTTTTCCTTTTTTTTATTTTCGGATGATATTTGGGAGTAAAATGATCTTTAATTTTTTTTTTTTTTTTTTTTTGCGAATGAATTAGAATCTTTCGTGTATGTGAATTATGTTTTGTTCGTTCACAAAAAAATATTCGTTTTTTTTATTTATATAAAACTTTGCATCTTATGGAAATTTAACATGAGACGATCTTTTTATTCAGTTTGTTCTTATGATAACACGATCACAGTTTCTTCGTTCATATTTCTTTTTTTTTTTCTCTTTCTAATTTTTTTTTTCTTTCTTTTTTCTTTCTTTTCTGTTTCATGGAAATTTAACATGAGACGATCTCTTTATTCAGTTTGTTTTTACGCGATCATAGTTTCTTCGTTCGTATTTATTTTTTCTTTCCTTTTCTTTCTCTTTAAAATGAATTTCTTCTTTTAAAAGAATATCATTTTAAAGAACATATGTATATATACGTATTTTTATTTTATAAGATTATATTTTATGAGGATACATGCAACATACTATAAAATGTATCATAAATTAAGATAAAAATCATGAAATTATGTTATTATTAATAAGATCAAAAACAAAAAAAAAAAAAAAAGAAAGAAAAAAAAGAAAAATAATCAAAAAAGATATAGGAGAAAATTAGAACGTCAGTTTATATTTAAAACATTTGTGAAATTAATTGCGAATAATTATTTGCGTATAGATATAATTAGTATGATCGTTCGAATAAATAAATAAATATGAAAAAAAAAAGAGAGGAAAAGAAAAAAGAAAAGGAATAGGATAAGAGAGAGAGAGAGAGAGAGAGAGAGAGAGAGAGAGAGAGAGAGAGAGAGAGAGAGAGAAAGAAAACAACGAGCACATATTGAACGATCGTAGACATCTGCTTCTGGTTTTGATCGACTTGACGATAAAACCGGAGATTAAGATCTACTTTTACAACGGTACCTTTCAGTGGAACCAATGTCAGCCACTTAATATGCCACTTAAAAAGTTCTCCTTGCTTATCTTGACGAGAGCGCGTCGAAATGGATTGAAATTATCGAGGAAGCTTAAGGATAAGATCTTCGAGAAAACCTTGGGAATAAGATGAAACGTTAGTTGCAGTTAAGAGTTCACTATTAAAATTTAAGTTTTTCTCGACTTTCTTCGTTTCTACTAATTAACTCGTTTATTTCTGATATATATATATATATATATATATATATATATATATATATATAACAAAGTTATAAAAGATATTATTAAAAAAATATATATATATATAATAGATTATACATAATAATTATAAAAGATTCAAATAATTAATTGGAAAGAAAATGCAAATATATGAGTAATAATAATAAATATTGTTTGTAGATATAACAATAAAATAAGATTTGTATGTATAACAAGATTGTAAAAAATTGACATAATTAATTGGAAAAGAAAAAATATAAATATATAAGTAATAATGATAAATATTATTTGTAGATATAATAATAAAATAAGACTTGTATATATGTGTGTGTATGTTTGTGTGTAATTTTCATTATATATATATTTAATTTTTAATAATTATTTATATTTTTTATTAATTATTAAAAATTATTTTAATTTATTAAGAACGATAGAATATTTTGTCTTAGATTAACTTCAAACGTAAAAATATAGAAATTAAAAGAATTAATAAAAAATAAATTTTGATTTCCATTAAATCAAAACGAATTTCGAATAATTTTAATTTATTACTTTGTATTATTATAAAAAGTCATTGATTAATATCGTTGTCTAATCTTTAAGATAATTATAAATTATTTGAAAGCATATAAAAAAATCGATTCTTTCGAAATCTCCAAAAAAAGCCAAACCTAATTTTGGATATTATTATATATCTATTAACATATCTAATTACATACATATATATATATATTATATATATATCAGCATTGGTTTAATTAACATATTTAATATATTTATAATAATTATTTATTAACATATATTTAATATATTTAATTTTATTTTATTAAATTTTATATATTTAATATATTTAATTATATACATATATATGTATAATAATTAATTAATTATATCAGAGTTTAAAGATTTTATTTCGTGTATTATTAAAAAAAATTTATTGTGAAAAAGAATTCTTTTTATTGTTATTAAGTATCGAACATGATTAAATTACATCGATCTAACTCGTCTTTATATTTTCGTTTCAGAACTTCGAGAATACTTGAAAAAAAAAGGAGGAAAAGAAACAAAAAGAAAAAGAAAAAGATCCTTTTGAAAATGTAACAATAGAATTTATAAATAAATCACATTAGGATCATAAAGATCCATCCTTAATGAAGATGAGCGATGAAACATTTGCAAAAACTTTGATCGGCGATATACCATACGCCGATGAAGATGGTTACACGATTGAACAAATACCACGTTCGAGATTGGTATCGAAAATATCAACGAACGAAAAAGGAAATTCGATTCGTAATTCTCAAATATCATCGCGTAACACAAGAACAATTATTTTCGATAAAAGGGAGAACACAAAAAACGATAATAATCGTATGGCCAATCAAAAGTACATTTATACGGAGAAAAAAGATAACGATCAACGTTTGATCGGTAAAAGGATCGACAAATTTCAAAATCCTTTAAAAAATCGATCGAAACAATCGCCACAATTACCAATACCATCGACCCCACCACCACCACCATTACCACCACCATCACCTCTTCAACAACAATCTCAACAACAAATACAACAACAAAGTGGATACTCGAGTAGCGAGGAAAGTATAATAAGGAACAAATCTAAAAGTATTAGCTCGGCGGATACTCAATCGGTAAATAACATACTTGATGAGTATGAGGATGAAAGGTTGATTGAGTCCAGTGACGTAGGTAGTACGTGCACGATGAATGTAATAAAATCTCGTAACGTAGAACATCAAAGGAACAAGAGAGAAATTCAACAACCTCAGCAATATCATAATAATAATCATAATAACGATAGTAATAATCATCATCGTCATCAACAGCAACAACAACCACAACAACAGCAGCAGCAGCAGCAGCAACAACAGAAGCAACAAATAATAAAACGAACGACTATTTCAAGCGAAAATAATTTGATGTCGTCACGTCGAAATGAAAAGGATGAAACTATAACAAAAATAATAAATCGACAGGTACAAGGTAGACAAAGATCACGCGATAGAGTTAAAGATCCAACTAGATATTCGTCGTCGGCATTAACATCATCGTCATCGTCAAAACGAGCGTCACCATTGATTATCGATAATATCGATCGTACGAATTCAATGACGATGATGTCGACTACGTCGTCATCTAGAACAAACGAGGACGATTTACCGAGGAAAGGTGAGGTTCAAAGGCGCGTTGACGAATGGTTGAATCAAGCGCAATTACAAACTACGATTAATAAACGCGATAAACCATTAATCAGATCAAATAGTACCGCCGAACGACGTACCACTCAAAGAAGATGTCGTCAGGATCCAAGGTCAAGGTCGATCGACGAGTCAACCGATCGTACGAACAATGGCGGCCCTAGTGGAACAGCAGGTGTTGGAGTTGGAGTTAGTGGTGGTGTGGTTGTTGTTGGTGGTAGCGGTGGTGGTAGTGGTGGTGGTGGTGGTGGTGGTAATAATACGTCGAGTTACGACGATCTAACGCGTACAAATAAAGAATCATCCGGGACGTCATTAATGACAAATATTTTATTTAACAAAGGAACATATAAAGATTATCTTTTGATAAAGAACAAAACGAGACAACAGGATTATGGATTTTTAGCATCTAATGGTATTAACAGAAGGGATATAAGTCCGAATACATCATCTAGAATACCTCAACGTGGTTCGAGTTTTAAACGTACAAATATAATAGAATCGAAGGATAATAAATTATCTAATTCAGATTATAATGAAAATAATGGATTATCATCATCCGTGTCAGCGATTGTTTTATCTAGAAAATCATCATTCAAGAGATCTTATAAAAATGATCATCGTATTGATCGTAATAACGTCATAACAACGTCCCTCGATGGTGGTGGTGTTGGTGGTGGTGGTGTACCGTCGTTAATTAAACATAATGTAGAGGATAATGACAAGGATCGAACGATTTTAATTGAAGACGATAGAGGTCAAAAAATCGACGAGGATTGGTTCGTGAAAATAAATAAAAATGGCGATATAGGTGGATACGATTGTACGATCAAAAAAGATGATAAAAAATCAGATGTAACTAAGGTTGTTCATTCTAAATCTAATCATGTGATGGTTGGTCAAAGGGATAATATTACGAGAAATGATTGCGAGGATAAGGGTAATCTTGTTAGCGTACAAGTACGTTTACCAACCTCTCAAGGTCAAATAAATTGGAGAAAACTAAATCCAAGGAAAGCACCGATATTACCCAGAAAGGATTCTAGTGGTTCTCATTCAAGGAATCAATGTACTATTGCGTTAAACGAGACACCGGGTACGACTAGATCGTCTACGTTCAAACCTAACGAACGTAATTACGTTAAATCGGTTAAATTGTTGAAAAAGGATAATAATACGATTGACAATGTGAAATATATTTTCTCGTCGTCTTCGTCCTCTTCGTCCTCTTTGGTATCCTCGTCTAATCACGTAGAAAAGATTTACGAACGTACTTTGGAACCCCAAGTGATTTATGCTGACGATTTACGTTCGATCCTTCGGCCATCTTTACGCATATCTGCTTATGGCGAACGTACGGATACGTGTGAATGTGATACCGAAGAAGAAAATCTGAGAAAACGACAAAAAGAAGGAAGAAGAGAAAAGGAGGAGGAGGAGGAGGTGGAGGAGGAAGAGGAGGAGGAGGACGAAGAAGAGGAGGAAGAAGAAGAAGAAGGAGAAGAAGAAGAAGAAAAGGAGAAAGATGATGGAGAAGGAGGAAAAGGAAAAGGAATAGGAAGAAAAGAAGAAAGTATAGGAGAGACCGAAGAGGAGATTTATAGTAGGATCGGTGAAACGAGACAGGAGACTCTTGAGACTATCATGGAAGACGATAGAAAAGTTGAAATTGTTCGTTGTAATAAAGGATCTGTGACCTTGGACGATTGGAAAACTATAGATCAGATTAATTTGATCAATTCCGATGAGAAATCGTTGGATACTACTACGATGATGTATCATCGTTTTTCGAGTAATACCAAGGTTGATAATAAAATGGACGATGTCGATGTGAAAAATGATGATCCGATAGAGATTGACGAGGATAATTATAATCTGAACGATCGATTGTTAATAATTAATAATGAGAAAATATTTTCTATTGATGATAAAAAGGATGATTGTTTAATGAATAAATTTAAGGACGTGGAAGATACGCATGTCGTTAGATCAATGATCGAGAACGATGTGTCGATTCTATCTTCGAAAGAAAATAATGAGGACAGATCGAGCGTTATGGTGGTTAAAGAGAGTCTTCTTAAGAATTTACAATTTGATGCTGGTCTGCCGGCGAAAGTCGAACGTCGAAGCGAGTCGAAGTACGGCGATCAGCAAGCGAACAGGTCGAAGCGGTTCGACGATCGAGGAGAACTCGTTGAGAGAGACGAGAGAAAGGGGGAAGAAGAAGAGAAGAAGAAGAAGAAGAAGAAGACCAGAGAAGAAATGGAACACTCGAGGCTGATGGATTTGCTCAGAAATGGCGACTACGGAGCAGTTAAATTGGTAAGTAATCTGAACAATTTACTTTATGCGTCTTTCTTTTTTTCTTTTTTTTTTTCTTTTTCTTTTTGTATTTCTTCTTTTTTTTTTTTTTCCTTTTATTATTTAATATACGCAATAGAATGTTAAAAAGAAATAATTTAATTTAGATTATTAATGATTTTTTGGAATAATTAATATGTTATTCTGTTATTAATATTTTTTTTTTCTTCTGATAATTTATTTGATAAATTATTAGAAATATATTTTTTAATAATCGATATATATATATATATATATATATATATACTTCGAATAATTTTATGATTAATATATATTTAAGAATTTAATCAAATTTATTTTTAAATATAATTCATGATTTGCTTATTGAAGTATAAGAATGGTATAAATATTATTGATCTATATAAATCATAACAATGAATTGCAATTAATTGAGTTTTATTTTTGATTTGATCTATAATTAACAAGTAATTTATCACTATTGCAATTATGATTTGTTGCAAATTATAATTTTGTATTTTCCAAAAAAAAAAGAAAACAAACAAATAGAAAGATTTTTTGAAAAATCGTGAAATGATCGAGTAGTAATATATATATTTTTTTTTTCAATAATTATTTTCAATGATTAGATAGAAAACATTTGTTTCGAATGTATATGAATTTTGTAATAAATTAATAATAATAGAAAGTATATATATATATATAAAGAGAGAATAAGAAAAATCATCAAAATTTAAATTTACGAAAAAGAAAATAAATTTCATTGGTATATAAAATATGGATCGAATTAAAGATATACATAACTCTTAGCTCCCTTTCCCTCGCCCTTTTCTCCCGCTGCCCTTCTCCCTTTCAGTAATTTGTTAATTTCTTTCATTATTCGAGAACTTATTCTCGACGATAAAAGGTTCAAAAAAACTTGTTAATAATTATTTCCAATTTATTAATAATCATTCCGACATAATTTTTAAACTTACATAGATTATCATGATATGAGCGAATGGTAATGTAGATTAAGATTAAAAACAAATAAGGAGATTATTTTGGGGGCAATATATGATAAACTGAAAATTAGAATAGCTCTTAATTAGTAAAATCGACGAGTTTAAGTGATATTTATCTCTCTCTCTCTTTTTCTCTTTCTCATGTATCCCAATGGGCAATTTAATTTGCTTTGTCGATAACTTCATCGAAAAGATATGCTCGCAGGAAAGCAATTATTATATTTCAAAATGAGTCAGAATATTGTGCAGCATTGCAATACGTAGAGCAATGATTGTGCAGCTAACAATGTATATGCATTATATGTATATACAACTAGGTGGACCTTCCGATAATTACGAGTTGGAATTAATCGCGATACGTTTCATTTACCTCGTTATATCGATAGTATAATCGATTTCAAATTGGAAAAAAAAATATACATATATATATATATATATATATATTTATATTTTTTATGTACAAATTTCTATCTCTTTTTATCGTATTCTTTCTTATATCCCTCTATCTCTCTCTCTCTTTCTCTCTCCCTTTCATTCTTCTCTTTCCATATATCTTATTCTTTCTATATCTCTTTTTGTCTGTCTGCTTTGTTAATATGAACATATTATTTTTCATTTATCTTTTTTTTTTTTTTTTTTTATTTTCTATAAACAGATTAATCATTATTACGAGAATAATAATGTTCGGACAAGTAACAAGTATCATATGTATATATATATATAAAAAAAAAAAAAAAAAAAAACAAAAAAAATAAAATAAAATTTCCTTCCAATCAATGAATCATTAGAGATAATGATACAATTAAAATGTAATAATATGTAATTGTATAAGTGTAATAATTAATTAAGAAAAAAATTTTGAAAACTTGCAAATTGCATATTCTTTTTTTCTTTTTCATTTGTTCTTTTCATTTGTTCTTTTCTTTTTGTTTCTTTTTTTTTTTTTTTTTCTTTTAAACATATTATATTTTAACGAGTCTTATCTGTCTTTATTACATAGAGAATATAATTTTCTCTCTCTTATCATATTTTAATTTATTCAATTATTATCTATTTCATTTATAACTATTATCTATTTAATTTACAATTATTATCTATTTAATTTATTCTCTGTATCTTTAATCTAAATTTCTTTTCATTCTCTGAGCAATATAGCTATTCAAATAAATAAAAAACTAATTATCCCTTTTACGCGCACAAACACACACACACACATTCTCTCTCTCTCTCTCTCTCTCTCTCTTTCTATTTTGATTTCGATTTATTTTTCCCTTATTCTTCGTTTTGAATTTACGAATGGCGTTGTCAGCGGTTTCTGTTTTTCCGGTTTATATAGGATGCATTAATCGAACGAAAGAGGAAGCAATTTTGGAAGCATAAATTGTGCCGTGGTCGTTCGAAACACGGATGATCGAATTTTGGCGAACGATAAATGCCTGTATATCGTATATATCTGTATAAACGTATATAAATACATACGCGTACATAAGTACATATATCTATATATATATATATATATATGTATATATATACCATACGTACATATATATGTATTTGTGTGTGTGTGTATATGTGTGCGTATATATTTAATGTAAACGTAAGAGACCTATATATGTATACACAAACATACTCGCGCACACAGACATATACACACACACACACACATATAGACACACATATACACACACTTGCACACATATAGATACATATGTATCTACGTACGTGTCCTATCGTTCGAGTTACTCCAAATGAAATTCGATATTTTAATGCATCGTACTTTTCCAAAGAAAAGTACAAAGCTCAAGGGATATTTGCCGATCGTGAGTTTATGAATATTCAATGACGTATTTAACAATAAACTTCATTGAGAAGATTTTCGAGTGACGCCTGTTAAATCTTTGGCAAATAATCTTTTTGAAAACTTTCTTCATGGGAAAATATGTAATAAGATATATGTAATGTATATATATATATATATATATATATATATATGTATATAATTTATTAATGATATACTATTAAATTATACTCGAGAGTTATCGTTTGAAATTATTTTTGAAATGATTTTTAATTGTGAATTCTATTTTTTCTCTCTTCCTTTCTTTTTTCTTTTTTTTTCTTTTTTTTTCTTTTTTTTGTATTTTTTTTCTTTTTTTTTTTTTCCTTTTTTTAATGACGCTTAAGACTCTCGTCATTTTTCAATAAATTTTGAAAGAGACCGAATTAAAAGAATTAATTTTCATTAAAAAATACAATCACATTAAAAAAAAATCTAACGATATGTTAATAAACGATAATTACAAATAGACGAGGTTTATTTTAATTTTGCATATATAAAATAAAAATTTAGTATATTTCGTAATTATTTCCTTTTTTTTTTTTCTTTTTTTTTCTTTTTTTTTCTTTTTTTTTTCTTTATTACTATGTATGACTTGTATCGTATTTACGAGTAAATAAAAAAAGAAAGAAATACTAAAGAAGAAAATGTAATTGGAGGATATTTCAAAACTTTATTATTAAAAATTAGAATAATTTTAATAGTTATATCCTATTATATATACATGTGTACTTATGATCCTATTTTATAACTAATTAAAAAAAAAAAAAAAGAAGAAATTATTATAATTTTCCATTATCCTATCTAATACATTATATATATATATACATATTCATTCAATTTTATAAGTACAAGAAAAAAAATTGATTAGTAAAATTTTTCCTTCCAATAGATATATTTAAAAATAACACACACACATACACACAAACACATACATATATTTTTTTTCTCTTACAAATGAAACTTTGCAATAAAAAAAAAAAAAATATATGACGATTATCCGGTACATTTATATATCTAATGTTTTCTCATAATATATCAAATCTGTGAACGAGTAGACCAAAACCAACCACCGTTCTACGAAAGATTTCCCTCAGAATGGAGCATTTCATGGTGGGCGTTAATGGGACAGATTAATAAGGGGTTTTTCACGAGGTGAGCACGCTCCCATACCAACTGGACCAGCACTATGCCGTTATTTCTCGCTCAATTAAGAGCTCAATTAAGTCCGAGGGTCCTGTCGACCGCAGTCGTTCGATAAAACGTTTTGAGAGAGAGAGAGAGAGAGAGACAGATAGATAGAGACAGAAACGGAGACAAAGGCAATGATAAAGATAGAGAGAGAGGGAGAAAGAGACAGAGAAGGAGAGAGAGAGAGAGAAAAAGGATATCTTTGATACCACGACATTTTTAATATTTTTCACATAACTTCTTCCTTTCTCCATTATTTTTTTTTCCTCCTTCCTTTATGTACTCCTTGAATTTTTCTTCAAATTTCTTTTTCTTTTCTTTTCTGTTTTTCTTTTTTTCTTTTTTTTATTTTTATTTTATTTTATTGTTACTCTTTATCCATTTTATCCTTTTATTTTCATTTTCATAAAAAAATTATATACAAGAATCCATTCCTCACATTAATTATTATTTAAAACGTATATTCACGCAAAATAGAGATAGACGTAAGAAAATAATGTAACAGTTCACCAATAATGGAATTTATAAAAAATCTTTTCAAAGTACAGTTAGTCTTAATCGTAAGTACTTGCCAAAGGCTACAAAGCGTTAATACGTGCGTGAATAACTTCTAGACAGTAAGTATTACAGAGAAAGAGAGAAAGAAATAAAGAAGGATATATACATATATACACACACACACACACACACATACACACACATACAGATATATACATACATACATACATATATACATACATGCATACATACGTATGCACGTATGTGAATAAATGCAGATACACGCATACACACAAATATATGTATATATGTAGAGACATGCGCGCACCCACATATAAATACACACATATATACAAAGCATTATTTAGATATCTACTCGACATTACAAAAGGGATGACACCGTCACTCGGCCACTCCTATGATAGCTCGAGTGTTCACCTGCCATGTAAAAAAACATTCTAGTGTAGGTGTAT